GTACACGCCCAACTATGGCTTCAGTGCAGTTATCACTTATTGTGTTAAATAAGGTATGCGGGAATGTACAAATAATAACCATGAAACTTCTACGCGCACATATCACTAGCAGCATAGGGCAGTTAGACACTCTCCCCTCCTCCTTATCCACTCTTGATCATAGCAACAGCTTCATATCATCGTGGGGCACACTTAATGAAACCTCAGTTTCCTGTCAACCTTTGCACAACCTTGTCACAAGGTTGTTATGTTTCTTACATGTTAGTCACAACTTCATCACTTTTATACAAGGTTTTTAGCAGTTACTAGGTTGCTAGAACTATGCGAGGTTGTGATCCGGTTGTAACAACCTTGGAATTTTTATATGGGTTGTTTGTGTTTTTACTTAAACTGAGTGAAGAAATATTGACTCTTGCAATACACATACAAAAACATAAATATAAACATGACACTGAGCAATATAAGTCTACAAGTCTCGTACATGTAGATATAACATGAAAACTGCATCTTTACATAACCAGTTGGCAGCATGTACAGTACATGTATCTGTATTAAAGAACTTATCATATAGCGGGAAATTTTGGAGGAACTTAAATTTGGCAAATTGCTAAATTTGAGTGATTGGTAGATTTCAATTTGGCAAATCTATGGCCACGTGCCATTGAGCGTGTGCATAATGGCTCAAAATGGTGGATTATATTTTGACAAATGGCTATCAAAATGCCAAATTCAAGAAAATTAATTTCCCACTATATGGTATGTTCTGAAAAATTAATACTACAGTGATTAAAAAATGTTTGTAATTATGTAACTATATCTACTTTAAAAGGTAGACCTTACCATACTTGAACTTATACTCAAGTACTATTATTAAAAGCACTGTGTACTTGGTACTTAATACTACTTATACACATATTTTGTAAATGTACTTAGACTTTACTTGAGTACTTAGACTTAGGGTTTTTTATTACACAAACACCAAACAATGAAGGATACAATGTAGAAAAAATAAGCAAGCAAAGCAGGTTATTGTACACATACCTGTAGTATAGTTGTAGCAACAGTCACAGGCTTTAAGCTGTATCCTGCTGGACAGAAGTACAATCTTATTTTAGTAACTATTTGCTGGAAATAAGCTCGTATCTCCTTCCAATTTAATATCCACCATTTTATTTTACTGTGGCAATACCTGCTAATTAATAAGCATTATAAATAATGAACATTTTTGCCCTAATAAAAATCCTTTGCTAAGGTCACTCCAATCATAGTATCCCATTACAGTGGTGGGAAGCAGGTTTAGTTATTCCCATTATCAATTTCTTCATTATCTCTTGTATAAGCTATGTGCATAATTATATATTCGTAGCTGCCAATATTCACAATTTTTTTTACCATGACCGGCAATTATCATGCATGTAGATACCAGATGTGATACGATATTAAAGCAAAGCATCCTGATGCAGTGTTCTTGAGTTGTTCTTCTTGCTGTTACTAGCTAGCCCTTGGTCTTTTTCAAGCTGCTTTAACCAGTTCTTTTCAAAACTACCCTACTTGCCATATCTTGGAACTCTCTACGCATTTAAGTTAGTGTTGTTTATTGGCTTGGGTGTGGTTTGCTACCGACCAGTAACAATTTGCAGCACAAGGGGTTTGGAGGTAGAGGTTCATACAAGAAGCTAACAGAAACAGAACAAGTCGCTATTGGTGAATAGCTCCACTAAAGCTGCTAAAGAACAGAAAATTAGGCTCATGGTCTTGTTATCATAGCAACATTCTATCGGTTTCCATGGTACTTAATTACACTTTTATTTTTGCGAATATTAGCAGCCGTAAATATTACTTATGGTAATCAAAATAGTGATGGGGACCATGTCGGCATAAAATGGGAAAGCAGCCGGTATGAATCTAATTGCATGGAGTGGCCTAAATATAATACATATAGTAAGGCATGCATGGTATAAAACCGACAATTTACTCTATTATATACCTTACTTGAAGAGATGGAATTAAACCGAAGTATACGAATTATCAGACACAAAACTCAGTGGATGACTAAGCAATAAAATCACTGAAGTTTATTTACAATGATAATTTCTCTCACTGGAAGTGATTGGTGTCACATCAGTAGATAGCCAGGTGTTTAGGCAAGCACATCATCTCAATTTCATCACAGATCAGTCAGTAATTGTAAAAGGCTTTGATGTGAAAGAGCTTCCAATCTTTCCCATTAAAATAATACCGCAGGCGCAGGCTGAGCATGCGCAGTTGGCTACATTAAAATGGCGTCCAACCACTTGGTAAGTCCATGTGTGCTTGAAAATGGGAGAAATCATTTTCTAGAATTACAATGCCAAGCCACACTGCACTAGCGTCCCTTAAACGCAGCACAATGGTGTAAAAATCATATTTCTAGGATAAAAACTGTAAGACTAGTTCTTACTAAACAGTGCCGGGAAGAAGGAGAAACCTGAACATTTGGTGCATGCAGGCATCATAGATACTACATACACACATGGATATGAAACAGGATGCGCTCGATCCTTGGCACCGGAAGTGATGTGTTGTGACGTTTACACACACGTGTATAAGCATGGCACAAGCAAACTAGTGAAGAAATCCAGTTGAATTACTTACTAAAGCTCAGGTCTACGACTATATAAGAGTTGCAATCGATATTCTAGTTCTAAAAAGTGAAGATCTACTATTAAAAGAAAGAATGCACTGTGCTAAGTACTAAAAAAATTATTATTTAAATTATTATCATTATAATGATTATTCTATTCTTCAGTGACCCAATAGATTGATTATTATTATGAGTCCTTCAACAAATTTTAACTATAAAAATAGCAATAAAAACATTGACAACAATTATTATAAGCACTTACTGTATCACCATACAGTACATACTGTAATGTACATCATCTCTATCTTGATAGTTCTCTGTGGTACCATAAATATAAAGCTTTACAATCATGTAACAATGTCTCATCAATGCCACTGAAATCCTGCTTGTGTTTCTTGGTAAATAAGCTATTCTTTCACTACTCAGTTCTCACTAAAAATTAAACCACACCCTTTGAAACACTTGCAAAAAATATATCATTACTTTTGAAACATAGCATCTAGAAAAATGAAACCATAAACAGTCTATAGACCACCGTTCTAGGCGTGAATTGGAAAAGTCATGAATTTCATTAATTTTATATACGGCATCTGCCCACACATCCTAATTGGCTGCCATTTTGGTTGGCAAGTTTATTATGGAAGTCAATGGAGGCACGAATAAAATGCCTCACTTACCTGCTGTAGCTCTATCAATAGCTAAAAAGCGCTTGTTATAAGAAAGAGCAGCTGCCTATAAGCTTCTCCTGTCAAGGATTTGGTCAAATTTGCTCCAGAATTCTTAATACAGGTTTGTTTTTATGTCGGCCCGTTTGTTCTCCATCGAAAGTTGCCAACCAAAATGGCGGCCGAAATTAATTTCATCCTAAACCACGCCTTACAACCGTAAAAATTTCTAATAATCTTCCTACGCATTCAATTCTCGCCTAGGGTGGTCTATATAAGAGGCCTTAATGAATACACTCAAAGTAGTAACTTGTTCATACCTGGTGCAGAAGTCTCAAAAAGGTGGTTACAAAATTAATATAAAAAAACTAGTTTTTGGCTATTATCTCAGTCATTTCTCATTACATTGACACGAGAATAGTTTCAGTCCATGTAACAAACAATACACTATTATGATTCCAAGACTTACTAGCTAACTCCGTTCGAGAGTCTAGAAAAGGTGGTTACAAATAAAAATGGAGGTCTTCTAATTTTGTCATGTAAACATGAGGCCTGTTGACAAAATGAAATGAGAATATATTTATTAGGTCTACTGAACAAATAAAAAGACCTATATACCTTCTTTCACAAAAATAAGTGAGTCAAGAAAATTCTTGAAAACATAGACAGAGAGAAAAGCGCCAAGGATAGAGCTATGCTGGTTATGACGTTTACAGGTGAACTTCAAAGAGTTAATTGGATACCGACTTCCTGTTTCATATCCATGTGTGTATGTAGTATCTATGCAGGCATGCAAGCATTCATTTGCCGTAAAACTATCTTATAGAACTGAGTTTTTACTACTTTTTATAACACTGAAATGTTCTGATGACATTATAAAGGACATCTGGACTAACAAATAAGCCACAGAGTATTTCTAAAGATATTAAACGGGCAGTTACGGGCTCAATGCTTCTGGGATGGCAGCCATTTTTGGGGCGCGCTCGTCCAAAAGCGCTAGCGCTTGGTAATAGACAAACTTCAATAGGACATACAGTAGTAGTGACAGTACATGTTTTTACTTATAATAAACCATCAGGCAATCTCTTCTCACTGCATTTTAGGGAGCATAAAGTACATGCATTATGTATAATACATTCCTGTTTCGTTTTTGAATATTTTAGTAATTTTTGTTGTCATTATTGTTATACCAGCATGCATTATTATTATTATTACTATTATTATTATTATCATTGTCATTATTATTATTATTATTATCACTATTATTATATTATAACAAACAGACAGCAGAAACATCAACAATAAAGTATTAGAATTGGTAAAAT